TTTGCGACCGAGCAGTACTATACTTCCTTGGCGTGCGCACATGGCGTCGCTATTATGCCCCTTGGCCGTGCTGTCATTGGGCCTGACCCAATTGTGCTTTGGCATGACCATGATATTTGTATTTATCCAGCTGAGACCCCATGATCCATGGCAGGTAGACCCGGTCTAGTCTGGAACCTTGTAGGCAGAATAGAAACTGAGCTCGTCGGCGTATATCTCCTGCCTGGTATCCGCACTGACGTCTCCGGGTACGTCCCAGCTCTTGCACGTCCACGTCGTCGCATGCACAGTCAACCATGGGCGCGAAATTACCTCTGTATCTAGCCTTATTGGCAAGTATTATCCCCTGGTCGACTGCCTCCTCTGCTCCCCTACATACTCGAGATGATGATGCCTTCTCACCCCCCTACTACCCAGCCCCCAACGGCGGGTGGCTTTCCGACTGGGCCAGTGCGTACGAAAAGGCGCAAAAGGTCGTCAGCAACATGACGCTGGCAGAGAAGGTGAACCTTACAACAGGGACCGGCATGTTCATGGGCCCCTGTGCGGGCCAAACAGGAAGCGCGCTTCGATTCGGTATCCCGAATCTCTGTCTTCACGACTCCCCGCTGGGCATCCGCAACTCGGACCATAACACGGCCTTTCCTCCTGGCGTTACGGTGGGCGCGACATTCGATAAAGATCTTATGTACCAGCGCGGCGTCGAGCTCGGAGAAGAGGCTCGCGGCAAGGGTGTTAATGTTCTCTTGGGCCCTGTTGTCGGTCCGACCTTCCGAAAGCCTAGGGGAGGCCGTAACTGGGAGGGATTCGGCGCGGATCCAAGTCTTCAGGCAATCGGTGGCGCGTTGACCATTCAGGGTATGCAAAGTACGGGGGCGATTGCGAGTCTTAAACATTTCATCGGAAATGAGCAGGAGATGCATCGCATGAGTAGTGTTGTCACGCAGGGGTATTCTTCGAATATTGATGATCGGACACTCCATGAACTGTATCTATGGCCGTTTGCGGAGGGTGTTCGTGCTGGGACGGGGTCGGTGATGATGGCGTATAATGATGTAGGTGTACTGTTTTCCGAGTCGATGGTCATATCGCTAACGTCGCTCTAGGTCAACCGTTCCGCGTGTAGCCAGAATAGTATGCTCATCAATGGCATCCTCAAGGATGAACTCGGCTTCCAGGGCTTTGTCGTGACGGACTGGCTCGCTCAGCTCGGCGGTGTATCATCTGCCTTGGCTGGTTTGGATATGAGTATGCCAGGAGACGGTAGCATTCCACTGCTTGGTGATAGTTATTGGGGTTCGGAGCTCTCTCGGTCTATTCTCAACGGTACCGTTCCAGTCGAACGCCTCAATGACATGGTGAGTACCATCACTTCTTCCACAGAGACATTTCTCACACTTCCAGGTCACGCGCATCGTTGCGACCTGGTATAAAATGGGCCAGGATGAGGATTATCCTCTCCCGAACTTCTCCAGCAACACCCTCGACGAGACTGGCCCTCTTTATCCCGGCGCTCTCTTCTCCCCCAGCGGCGTAGTCAACCAATATGTGAACGTTCAAGGCAACCACAACATCACCGCTCATGCCATTGCTCGCGACGCTATCACCCTTCTCAAGAACGAGAATAATACCCTCCCCCTCTCAACCACCGATTCCCTCAAGATCTTCGGCACCGACGCCGGCCCCAACTCCAACGGGCTCAACTCCTGCACCGACCAGGGCTGCGACAACGGCGTCCTCACCATGGGCTGGGGCAGCGGCACCTCTCGTCTCCCATACCTCGTAACCCCCCAGCAAGCCATCGCCAACCTGTCTTCCTCCGCAGAATTCTACATTACCGACTCCTTCCCTTTCAACCTCAAACCGAATGCCTCCGACATCGCCCTCGTCTTCATCAACGCCGACTCTGGCGAAAATTACATCACCGTCGAAAACAACCCGGGCGACCGCACCACCGCCGACCTCTACGCCTGGCACAACGGCGACGACCTCGTCAAAGCCGCCGCGGACGTCTTCTCCACCGTCATTGTAATCGTCCACACCGTCGGCCCCATCCTCCTCGAAAATTGGATTGACCTCGACCCCGTCAAAGCCGTGCTCATCGCCCACCTCCCCGGCCAAGAAGCCGGCTACTCCCTAACCGACATCCTCTTCGGCTCATCCTCTCCCAGCGGCCATCTCCCCTACACCATCCCCTACAAAGAATCCGACTACCCCTCCAGCGTCGGTCTCCTTGACCAAGCCTTCGGACAAATCCAAGACGACTTCACCGAAGGCCTGTACATCGACTACCGCCACTTCCTCAAAGCCAACATCACCCCCCGCTACCCCTTCGGTCACGGCCTCTCCTACACCACCTTCACCTACTCCACTCCCTCCCTCACAACCGTCACTGAGCTAGATACAGCCTACCCCCAAGCCCGCCCATCCAAAGGCCCAAATCCATCTTACTCAACCGCCATGCCCAACCCATCCGAAGTCGCCTGGCCGTCCTCCTTCCCTCGCATCTGGCGCTACCTGTACCCCTACCTCGACAATTCCCAATCAGTCACGAACTCCTCCTCATCCTCATACCCTTACCCCTCCGGCTACTCCACCACTCCGAAACCCGCACCCCGAGCTGGAGGCGGTGCCGGCGGCAATCCCGCTCTTTGGGACGTTGCATTCGCGGTGGAAGTTACTATCACGAACAGTGGGAATTACAGTGGCCGTGCTGTAGCGCAGCTGTACGTGGAGTTACCGACTGATGGTTTGGGGGTAGATGCGCCGTCAAGACAGCTGAGACAGTTCGAGAAGACGGGTATATTGGAGCCCGGGGAGAGTGAGACGGTGGTGATGAATGTTACCAGAAAGGATGTGAGTATTTGGGATGTAGAGGTGCAGGATTGGAGGGTACCGGTTGGTGGGGAGGGGGTGAGGTTCTGGGTTGGGGAGAGTTTGGGGGATTTGAGAGGGAGTTGTTTGGTTGGAGGTGGGTGTGAGGGGGTGCAGGTGGGTGCAGTGTTTAGTTTGTGTTATTGAACTAGGATCAATGGTGTGATGTTCTTAAATCGCATTCGCAAAATAGTCCATGAGCTTAAATGTGTTCAACTGCACGGTGGTTGGATACGGTTGCGTATGTCCGCTACCTATCAGTATTATAGTAGCCACTAGGGTTGATTGGTCCGGAGAGAACTTAATGGAAGCCAACACGAGGGACGCCCTCATCCATGGCACTGATTCGTGTGTTTAACCTTAAACCAAGATTACCATATGCCGAAATTTCGTGTTAAAGGTCAGAATTAAATCTGAAATTGCGGGGTAATAATGAAAGTCGATCCAAGGACGCCCATTAGCTCGTGTTCAGGGTTGAGCACCATGGTAGGGATGAAGCATACCCCTCTTAACAGCTTGCATGCGGCTGTAGTCTCCGCTAAGCCAGATACACCGTTTGAGAAGATAGATAAACAAGACTTTATAGATAAAGCTTTACAAGATAAGCTTTTAGACCTCGCATCTAGCAGACCATATCCGTTTACGTCAAAGACTTACTGGGGAACCCGAAAGTATATATAGCGTCGCTTCTCCGGACAAAAATACTTTCTCAATAACCACAACACTACTAGATTAACACTGAAATCACTCGTATGATAATGTATACGCCTAGATAATATTATTTTGACTTCTTGTTTTTGAACACCGGAATTCAACACCCTTGTAGACTATATGAAGTCCACGTACAGGATCATGGGAGGCCAAATGGACCAACATGAAAAAAACCTGAATACTCTCCTATAGCTAGATTTTCAGTGTTACGAAGATGAACATTCTCACCCATACAGATTGACAATAAAACAACCTTACTGAAGAGTTTATGATTATCAATTTTTCAATCTCCCTCAACTTTCACATAAACCTTCCTCCATCCAACGTGACTTGCTGTGCATTGAAATAACGAAACACTTAACTTTCCCCTCCCCTTCTTCCCCTCCCCATCCCTCGTTCCCAATCCAAGTAACAGAATGTAGAGACTCGTCAAATATCCTCAGCATCAAAGGTCACCCGCAAATGGGCAGTAGTCCAGCCATGCCAACCATGTCTGCCGGTATCAGAACCATCCGGGCCAAAGGTGAGTTCCTCGTGAGACGGGTTCTCGTAAAGCTTGCCGTGCTCTTTGACTTTTCGGATCCTGCCTTCGTAGTTGATGTAGGCCGTGCGAGGATCCTCAGCCACCTCATTCGCAAGCTTGTCTTTGACTTGCACGGAGAGGCGATTTTTGAGGTCGCCCATGGAGGGGTGGCGGCCGCTGTGGTCGCCGTAGAGGTCTGTGGAGAAGGTTTTGGACATGGTGTCAGTCCTTTGTTGTAACAGTAGTGAGAGTGTTTGAATGATGGATCGTCGAAGGGGAGGGAACTGGGGTAGTAGATGGCATTTATACATCAAGAAGGCTTCTTCCAAAGGATTACCCTGTATGACGTGAGGAGGTGAGGAACTCAAACAGGTCTACCCCGGGTTTATGATATAGCAAGACGTAGCATGGAGAATAATTTCCACCGGTGGATGATAGCAACATCATATGTCAATTTCATACATCGATAGCGACTACCTTTCTGCTGCTTATGAAGCAAGCTAGAATAGTTGTTCCGGCAGTCTACACGCCCTTCATGTCAGTGCGTTGATACGCGTTCGCGATGCTGTAGGGTTTTAAGTATATCCATGAACCATCCCCACACGATAATATATTTGACAAGTATATCAAGATGTAAGGGTAGTATTGTGTTTTGTTTACATTTCGCAAGCACAAGCCATCCAAGCCATCATTTATTTAGGACATGTCTCTGACCTGTTGTATGAACTACTTCACTACTCATGTGTCTAGGCCGTTATAAGCTACGTCTCCAAAGATGAGACTATTCCGTGTTAGGGTGTGGTAAGATGCAGTCGCAGGATTCGGCCCCCACATTGGATCCGAGCGGCATCGAGTCAGGCTCTACTTCCAAGTTTGACTGTCAGCCTGCATCCACTGCCTCACCCCTCCTTACATTTATAATGTGCCATGCTCACATCTCTTCACCTGTTTGTCAGCGAAACTAACAGAAAGCTTTTTCTCATTGCATTGTGGTTGTGACGCAGTGAGCTGAATTTTGATGGTGAACGCTCGAGAGAACGAGTCTCGCAATGACCATATCTGTAAACCCAACGCCCTCGCTCTGGGCCATCGCGTTATCCTCTCTCTCAGAAAAGGATCGGCGGGTTCTAAAGATCCCCAATACATCATCACCGGATACCAAGCACATCTTGACAGAAATACTGGCAGCTCTCGAAACCCAACGCGACCGGTGTAAAAGAGACAAATGGACCACGACCAGCATCGGGGGCAAAGAGCTCGTCATTCGCGATGTATGCGCTAAAATTGCTGCTCACGTCAAGAAATTTATGCAGGTGGTGGACGCGGCTGTCCAAATTGATCCTGTCCATGCTGCACTGCCATGGGCGGGTGTGTGCTTCCTGCTGCAGTTGACATTCACGGCATTCGAGACCTTTGGCGCCATCGTGGAGGGCCTCGAAAAAGCAACCCGACTGATAGCCCGATGCGGGATTATCGAAGCTCTGGTCATCCGGCATAGTAGTGTATCGACTGGTGCGAAAGTGGGGTTAGAAGAGGAGCTGGTGAAGCTGTATTCGGCGGTCCTGGGATTCCTTTGCAAGGCTAAGAAACACTATGATGGGTCTCGCGTGAGTAGGTGGATTCATTCCGTGAGGTAGAGCCCAGGTCTTGTCTGTTGACAATGCAATTATAGAACGTGTGTTGAACCTGACTTCCCGGCAGTCTCTCCAAGAATCGGTCAAAGAAATGGAGGCTGCGGAGCAGAAGGTACTAGTGATGAAGGGTCTAGTTGACAGCGAACGTGAGTCCTTACAAGATGACCTCGCATCAACCTGCTAATTCTTCTTCAGGGATCCAAAACATCGATCATAGCATTTCGACAATGCTCTTTACTGTGACTCCTGTCGCGAACGGTGTCGACAATATGCAGACGCGACTGGATGAAGCACTGGCTGACCTCGATAAACCTACAATTAGGATTGCGGATGAGATGTCCGATCTGCATATTGCGCTCAAAGGTACCATGGCTACGAAACCATATGATTTACCGGAATTGACGCCAAGCAGAAAACGAGAGGAGCGAGCTCCTACAGTGGCTTTCTACTATCTCCGTACAACAACACTACAAGGAAACATTGGCATCTGTACTCCCGGGTTCCGGGGAGTGGCTTTTAAAGCAGCCTTCATTCGTGAATTGGAAGGATTCGAGTAGCTCTGAATCTTTCTGGCTTCATGGAATTCGTAAGTCCCACCCAAACATGCATTGTATATTTACAGTTATAAGCTGACAGAGAGAAAAGCGGGTTGTGGGAAATCCAAGTTGGCGTAAGCTTCCAATTCAATGAAAATAATTATGCCTACTAATGTTTTATGATCTCAGCGCGATTGCAGTCAAAGATCTACACCGGCAGAGCAGTGGTACATTCAAACCAGCACCGATTGCTCATTTCTTCTGTTCGCGAAGCCCCGCAGAGCCGGAACGCAGCGACGCACGCGAAATACTTCGATCCTTGCTCAAACAGGTCTCGCTGATCGAAGGCGAAAGGACCATAAGGCCCCCATCAGTCGAAGCCTATCAAGTACGACGAGCAGAAGCAAGCCGCACTGGAGAAAAACCAGCACCACTAACAGTCGAAGAATGCGTTGAGCTGATATGCGAGATTGGCCGAGGAACGCCACTTACTATTGTCATAGATGCAATGGATGAGTGCAGCTCTCAGCAACGTGGCATTATTATTGAAGCTCTCAAAGAAATTCGACGAAAGTGTCGAGATATTGTTAAGATATTTGTGTCTAGTCGACATGAAACGGACATAGCAGCTCACTTTGAGGGAGGAGAGATCTTTGAGATCACACCTACCGTAAATGAAGAAGATATAAGCCAATTTATTCGGGCCGAAGTTCACTATTTTATGAACAAATGGTCGAAAATGCACGAAGAGCCTATACCGTTGTTGCAGCGGCTCGAGGAAGAGATTATAGACAAGCTCGTGGCAGGTGCACAAGGAATGTGAGAAGAGCCCGATTCCCATCGTCGTCACAGGGCTTTGATGCTAATTGTGTCAGGTTTCTCTGGGTGAGGCTCCAGCTAGAAAGTATCAGTGACACTGATCGAATCAAAGATGTCGAGAGTATCCGTCAAGCATTAACATCTTTCCCCCCAACGTTGAATAAATCCTACGAAGTCATCTACAGACGGATCCAAGGCTTAGGCAAAGGTCCGAGGACGATCGCACTGCAAAGCCTTCGGTGGCTGTTATGCGCAAAACGAAAGCTTTCAGTCTCTGAATTCCTTGCGGCTGTCAGCAAGTCGCCTATGGGCTCTACATTAGTGTCAGCGGGATCCATCATAGATTACTGCTGCAATCTGATTGTCATCGACCATGTGGCAGACACATTCCGCTTTTCCCATATCACGGTCCGAGAGTAAGATTCTGGACTAAAAGAGTGGAACAGATATTGTGCTGACAGCTTATACACAGGTTCCTCGAATCATTGTCCGATAGCTCTATCCTTGAAGCTGACTCAACGATAGCCCAGAGGTGCTTAGGCACTTACCTTTGGGGCGATTTCAGCGAGGACGGCCTTTTAGAATATGCAACCCAGTACTGGCCCGCCCACGTGGAGCAGCTCAGCGGATCATCCCAAAGACTTGAGATTCAGAAACTCATCATCGAATTTCTCACTGAAGAAGAGCACTTCGAAGACTGGATTGAATGTCTTGATGAACGTCCAGTCGAGCGGGGTTATAAATGGAGTAGCGCGCTTGAAAGGAAGCTCGAAGCGTGCTTGGCTTCGCCACCATCAGCCCTGTTTACAGTTTGCTGTTTTGGCCTTTCCGAAGCTCTAGAGTGTCCGGAGGTCATCGAAATGATTGATTTGAATCAGACTAATAGACATGGAACTTCAGGCGTGTATCTGGCTGCTCGCTGGGGCTACACTAAAGTAGTCAGGAAACTACTTCAACTAGGCGCTGATGACAACGGACCCGGGTATCAATATGGAAGTCCACTCCAAGCAGCGTCATTTGGTGGTCATAAAGACATTGTCAAAATTCTGCTTGACCGCGGTGTCACTTCCCCTCCAACTGAGCAAGGCGAGTACTCAAGTCCACTCCAAGCAGCACTAGCAAGTGGCCATGATGATATTGCCGAGATCCTGATTGACAGTGGTCCCCATATTGCCACACAAAACCAGTTCAGTGATGCGTTAGAGACCGCCAGCTTCAAAGGATCTACTGAGATAGTGGAGCAACTTTTAGCCGGCAAGGCTGGCAGCTTCACCCCTGATATTCGCCCTGACCCTCTCCAGGTTGCCCTCTTCGGTGGCAAAGCAAGGCAAGCAAAGCGGTTGCTACAGAGCTGTACTGATGTCAATGAAGAAAAAGGCTACTTCGTAAATGCCCTCGCTGCCGCCATCGCTGGTCGTAAACTTGCCCTTGTGCAATTGGTTGTCGATGCCGGCGCAGATCTTAACGCTCGCGGACGTTTTGGCTTCCCGTTGCGGGCGGCCACGATAGCTAATCAGCTTGACGTTGCGAGATACTTCCTGGATAGAGGAGTTGACCCCAATCTCAGAGATGAAGAGTTAGGTGACCCACTTCAAGCTGCCGCCTCTTCTGGGAACCTAGACATGATGCTTTTGCTTCTGTCCCATAATGCATCTGTAGATGGTTGTGGAGGGCACTTCGGCAATGCACTACAAGCTGCCTGCTTCAATGGTCATGAGCAGGCCGTTCGGCTTTTGATTAATCATGGTGCTTCATTGAATCACAAGGGCCGGTATCGAGACGCACTGCAAGCTGCCGTATACGGTGGCCATGAAAAGATTGTCGAGATCCTTCTCGTAGCTGGTGCTAGGCTCAACCCAGGACGACGTGGTAGGGCATATCTATGCGCCTTCGACGACTGGACGGAGAGAATTGCGTTACCGGGCACAAGAAAAGGGTGTGGGGAGCTGGACATTCCTACAGATCTAGGTCCACTAGAGGTCGCTGCTAGACGAGGCGACGTCAAACTAGTCGAACTGCTCCTGGCTAAAGGGGCAACTATCGACGCTTGTGACGCGAATGATCAAGACAATGAGTATATCAAAGGGTGTGCATACACCGCACTACAGATTGCGGCTTTTTGGGGACATCTCGCTGTGGTGGAGTGTCTTTTGGATCGTGGAGCCGATATTGATGCGGTACGACAGACACTTGGAACTCCATTGCAGGCGGCTTTGGAAGGGGGTCACTTCGATATTGCAGATGTGCTCTTGTCCCGGGGTGCAAGAATAGATAGGCATTGGGCCATGTTTGGATCCTGCTTACAGGTCTTTTCCGAGCGAGGGCATATTGAGACAGTCAGGTTTTTACTGGAGCGCGGAGCGAATATTGAAGATCGTGGAGGCGACAACGGAAATGCACTCCAGGTAGCTTGCAATGCAGGACACATTGACATTGTGAAGTTGTTACTTGACAGCGGAGCCGATGTAAGGTCGCCTGGACGGAAAATAGGCAACGCTCTGCAAGCTTCATCGTTGGCCGGACATCTCGACATAGTGAAGTTGCTAGTTCACCATGGTATAGGAGTGGACGAAGCCGATAGCAATTCTCAAACGGCGCTTTGCCTGGCCGCAGAAAAAGGGGACGAGGACATGATGAACTTTCTGCTCCAACAAGGAGCTAAAGTTGATGGCAATTCCGTTCTATCGTCCGGTGAAAGACTCGGAGACTCGGAATCAGGCGGCAAGGTTGAGCGTGACGACGACGTTATTGCAATACCATTGCATATCGCCTCCTATCGTGGAAAAGAGTCTGCCGTCGCAATTCTTCTCCGCAATGGAGCAACTGTTCATGCCAAAGGAAAGCTACGGGGGAAGGGATCGGGCCCATCTGATGAATGCGAATTCAGCAGACTACATTGCACCCCTTTGTTCGCGGCATGCTTTTGGGGCCATGAGTCGATTGCGAGGCGACTATTTCTATGCGACCCGTGGGGATATGTGTCTCGTGACACATTCACATCTGCCGTAGAGACGAGCCTTGCCCGTAAGAAGGAGTCCATTTCAACAATGCTGGTTCAAGAAGCATTCCATGCAGGATTCAAAGCGGAACAACTTGACGGTGTGTTCAAGTATGCTTGTGCAGAAGGATACGCTGCGGTTGTGACACAGATACTGGAGCATTGTAGTCTGGAGCATTGGCCAGATGCAATATTGGTAGCTACGAAGCAGGGCAGGTGTGCCGTTGTCGAAGTTTTACTTCAGCATGGGGCTGACAAGGACTCCCGTGACGAACATGGCAATCACTGTCTTGACATTGCAATTGAGAAGGTCATAGAATATCGTTATACCCAGTGGAGTTTCAACCCACCAAATTGGATAGAAATAGTCCGGATCTTGCTTTGTGCAGGGGCAGACTCATTTGATCTACCGAGAAAGATCAAAGAAATCGCCCCCGACGTTGTACAAAATGGAAGCCTTGATGCTTGGGAAGCATTGGACCACCATCAATATGAGCTGCTGAACGACCCTGGATTATATCCGCAATTCCTGGTTTGGGCATCGGAAACCGGCGACCTTTACAAGATCAATTATGTGGCTGACAAGTATGATCCTTCAACCGAGGATATCAAGTCTGCCGTTGTTGCTGCGATCGAAGAACTGCAGGACAACGTTTCCCCTGTCGAGGCACTGATGAGGCTCAAGACGCCACTATTCTTCGGCAAAGGCGTCGATGGAGATGACGATAGTGAGCCCTTGGTCATCGCGGCCAGCGAGGAATATACTGAGATTGTCTCTGTTTTGCTCCAGTACGCGACACACAGTTCTTCAACCGTTGAAGCTGCGTTAGAAGCCGCCATCAGTCGCAACCATGTCGCCTGTGCACGACTAATTGTTGACTCGCAACTTAAAAATCCATCCGAGCGAATAACCGTATGCTCTCGCCTTATCAAATATTGTTTCCCCTTTAGCACGAAACGCATGATCGAGTATTTGCTACAGCAAGGGGTATCTCCAAACCTTAGGGACCCCGAAACGGGGGAAGCGCTATTGTACATTGCCGCCATGAAGGAGGACAGCAAAGGAGCTCATGTTCTTATCTCGCATGGTGCTGATGTTCATCCCATGGGAGGAGAGCATGGAACAGCGTTACATGCAGCAGCCGTCTCTGGGTCCTGGAAAACAGTGCAGTTGTTGCTTTCTGCAGGTGCAGATATCAATGCTCGGGGTGGGAGTTATGGTACGCCAATTATAGCGGTGATGGCACAGAAGTGGAATGGAACTTGCTGGCTGGCTAGGTTCAAAACGCCCTGCAGTTGGGAATGTCATCGCTGCGTTGCGAGAGTGCTCTTAGAGTGGGATGCGGATGTTGATGCCGAGGGCGGAGAGTTTGGGGCGGCCTTACAGGCTGCGGAGAGGGTTGGTAATGAGGAGGGCATAAAGATGCTCATGGGGGATAGTGAAGTGATCGTGGGAGATCATAATGCGCAGGTTATTTACACGGACGATAGTGACTTTGAGGATTTGGATTGATAAAGTCTTTCTTCAATTCATGGGTATTACTCTTATATCTTTCACAATATGAACACATATGTAGTTCGCCTATCCTATACACCAGGTACTGGAGTTTATAATGGTCTTGCTGCCAGTGTGGATATGATAAGTCCAGGCGATGTTAATCTTCAAAGAACAACGAGACGTGCTCTACCATGTGCAGGTGAAGACCCGAGTCCATCATGAATTATCAGACGATATCATGGTTCATTTATAATACTTGCAGTCACTGCACCATCAAATTTAACGACGTGCCCTTCCAGAAGCAGTCCAGAAAGTATTATTCCTAGTTACGCAGCCAAGTCACCGTAACGGATCCCGGTAACACGGGATATTACCAGTTCCATTCCTTTCTGAGACCTCGACAAGCTACCTCCATTCTGACACTTACATCCGCCAAGAACCTATAGACTATGTGATTACCAACCCGTGCTGTACAACGCAGCGTCGAATCGGCCGAAAGAAGCAGACATGCAGTGCCCTGTCCAAGTGAGGGGCCATGCGGGGAATCCGAATATTTGAGGTCCCCTGCGCACCCTTTGTAAATCACAACTACAATAATCACTCTTAACAGCCAGCACTGTCCCATATCACATCTACTCTCTACCAGGCGCCTCCAAGCAGTAGACTCAGCAAAATTCCATTGTATGAAATTGAGCACAGCATCCTCCTGAACAAATCACAGCGCGACAAAGTTGCCCAGGCCATCACCCACACCCACACCCGCAAGTTTGCCACTCCTAGCTTGTTCGTGAATGTCCGCTTCACGGATGCTAATAGCCAGCATAATTATGTGGCCGGCAAGGAGGTGAGTAGCTAGCAGTTCTTCTTTACTAGAGAAGTAGGGTCACTTAACATCTCTACTTCAATGCAGCGTGCCATTAACCGCATTATGGCGTATGTTCGGGTGGGTGGAACACGAACAACGGCCGACTTTGATGACCTTGCGCAGCGTCTCTCGGAGGCTTGGGATAAAGTTGTCACTAAGAACGGAGGGGCTTCCAAGGAGAGACAACTGAATGCCGTGTTTGTGTTGGGTGCAATTACGACAGGCACGGAGAGCGGGTTTCTGTTACCGCGGGTGAGAGAAACTATTGTTTGACCCTGCATATCTTGATTCTTCTGAGGAAACAAGTAGTTGCTGGGTTTAGGCTAATCGGATGTTAATTACAGGCTGGAGAGGATGCTAGTTGGCTCAAGTCTAATGCTACGAAGTTCCAGGAGCTGGCGAAGCAAGGGGATGGGGACTTTGCTGAGTTGGTTGGAGAGATGCGGAGTAGGGATGATCTAGCTGTTTAATTTCAGGGGAGCATGCATAATGCGTAGCTTTTGCGTGAATGCGAATTAGTTACGCCATTAAGCCATGCCTCCTCTGTTGGAGATATCTAGTATCACAACATGACTGTTGATATTTAAGAGGATTTGGGCATGAATCAATACTCGGCCTATCTAGAAAAAGGAGGTTTCCAAATTAATAACCAGTAGTAAAGAGGTAAGACTACCATATGTGTCTGATTTGTAATGCAGACTTGGGTGGACTGTTCGCTTTCAATCGGCCATGTGGGTCGTACGCCCTGCGGTTGACACTTGCATGACGCCGTCGAATAGAACAATCTACCAAACACACTTAAGGAAGTATTGTCAATGAGAATTTTATCAGACTTAGTGTCGACGCCCGAAGCGACGGCTAGGTTTAAAAATAAGTATCACGCACTAGCATACACAGTTCAGCATTCCAGCCCGAGCTTTGCATATTGGTCGGTGAACTCCCTATATAGCTTGTCAAGCGACAGAAGATTCAACGGATCTTTGTCATCATCCTGATCCATGAAACAAAGCATATTGTGGATTTCGAATGTAATAGCCAGCATATACCCGAGCTCGGCCTCCGCGAAAACCTCCTTTCCTGTATCTGAGTCGCCTGTTTTCTCATTCCACTGACTTGCATACTCTGCGCAAAAGTGCCTCTTTTCCTCGTCTGAGTAAGGTCGACAATCCGCAATCTGGCTCTCCTCATTGAACCACTGGAACATCTTTTGCAAAAAGTGTGCACCGATATCGAACGCCCGGTAGTTGCGAAAGACGAATTCGAAGTCGATAAGAACAACTCTGCCTTGTCTCACTTTTGGATTATTCCTCACCAAGATGTTCATAAATTGGAAATCATGGATGCACCAGCCCTCCTTCGCTCCGATGGATGCCAGTTTATCTATAACCTGTCGAAGTCTAGACACAAAGTCATAATCCACGAGATGATCCAAGCAGACGCCTCCTTCATGAGCTAGTCTCCTCAACTTATCCTTCCCATGATACTTGTCAAGCTCCCTGGTGACAGTATCGTAGTATGTCTGGACTGAATTCTTCCTCAGCAAGGTCGTATCCATAGCATGGAAAGTAGCAAGTGCTCTCGCAACATCAGCCCGTATTTCGGGATTTTCAACGTCCTGTGGTACCAACGTACGTGCATCCAAGTACTCATCGACCCTGCCGAAAATCCCATTCTCACTTTGGAAGAAGCCAAGCACTTTTGCGCCATGACCAGATTGGCCGTACTCGTATGTCAATTGCGCTTCTTCGGACTTGCTAGGAACTAGATGCTCGAAGACTTCGATTTCCCCGTCAAGTTCACCGTGGATCTTAAGAAATACTTTCAATGGCTCCAAGTGGGATTTTTCGCCCGCTGTGTTCGGTCGCTCCACTATACAGTTTGTATTTGCGTATCCGGTTGTGCGTGTCACTGTGAGGGTGTCTGGGTCCACATGCGGCCATTCGCGGGGAAGAAATGTGCTGATGATGGTTTTAGCTGTCGACTTTGGTAATAGGCTATCATGGCTATTCTTTGGGATTGCCACAGGGATGGTTGTGCACGATGCCATTCTGTTGGGGTGAGGGAAGCAGTGTAGCTATGGAATTATGGTAGCAAGATCTGAAAGATATATGTATTCTCTAAAGAGGCCGAAGCTTAGATAAGACGATCTGCTACTTTCTCTGATCGTCCAGCCATGGTGACATTGTGTCATGCCATTATTGGCTGAGAACATGGCAGTGAAGATAAGGCTGTGCACCTGGTGAGTCATCAGCGCAGCCATCTGCCTAGGCAACAACCGTTTTTACTTTTTATTGTCGCCCTGCTTATGCTTGAAAATAATCATATATTTCCTCGATGTCAAATATGCAATATACCTATCATTAGAACTATCACAAGTGCTACTGTGACAGTAGTACATGCTGGGGCCCATAACACTTGCAAGTGCGGCTTATTGAGGGCGTGACATTGCAGGGAAGACTGTACTCCACATGGAGATTATTGCTGTTCTTTGATGATAGGTTGAGTTTTATCAGCTAATCGGTCAGTCAACCTGAGACCGGCGCGCGAGGGAGTAAGAACGGGGCAGGGTGACCTCTCTTCTATTTAAGTTTAATATTAGCAAGATCGCTCTACTCAACCTGTTCATCAAGCTTAGTATTTAAGAGTTCGGTTTGGCGGAAGAAAAGGGCCAGTACTTGTGAAAGAGGATAAGTGATCATGAAGATGGCCAATGTCCGGGCTACTTATACGGTAAATTATAGTACACGCTCGCATAATATGGACTGATTCTGCCCAATATAAGAATTAAATAAGCTACCACTCTCCCAAAAGTGAATACCAGAACCTGCATGTAAGTTATCTCCATATATAAAAAACACAGTGTCTACGCATTCACTTGGCCATTGGATAATCAACATAACCTCGTCTTGGTGGTATTTTACTGCCGTAGGCAAGCCCTCACGCACCAATATAAGGTCCCCATATACATAGCCTCATTTTTGATTAATTTAACGTAAGCATTGAAGGGCTCAAGGCTACTGCAATTACTACATTCACACATGACACGCGATCAACAGCACCTCATCTCCTGAGAGCCTGGGCTCAAGATAGTATCAAACCTTACTCAAGACAAGCGATAACTTATCTTCACGGCCATACTATGTGAATCCAGACCGATAATAGGCTATGTTCCACTGAAATAGTATATAATCAGAGATATAGTCCAGCGGCCTGGGTATGGCGATGGACCGTCACCTTAGACAGACACATCGGGAAGCTGAATTTTTTGGGGACCGTAGGCGGGAGTTCGACTCTCGGTTTCTTTCTTCATTCTTTTCTTTCCTGTAGGAATGGCTCACCTGCGTCATACGTGTGAATCATGATTGCAGTTATCTTGCCTCATTGTTTGTACTGTCATACGTCGCGGTTACCGCCTATGTGTTCCCGTATCTTAGTCTAGTCATTCAAACTATGATGCTGGAATGACAGACTACACTTGGGAAGTTGATGGTAAACACCAGATTGTCTTCTGCTATATTCCTCGCAATATTTCCCAGGCTATAATCAAATACACGCAAACTGACATAGCCCCCGAGGTTGCGCCTACCTAATAGGGAACAATGCTAGCTATCAGAGTATGTGGTATGCTATTAAAGCTAGTACGCCAGGCCCGGTTTAGCCAACATCCATGAGTGTAGCCCATGGGTGTAATGTGTCTGAACCTTCATGGGCTACACAGAACAGTTGATGCTCCCTCAAGTCTAGACCTTGTTCAGGACACTTCTTTCCTTTTTGTAGCTATTTGCTATACATCATCTGGCTCTATGACATCAGGGTTGGGCATCCGATAATTGCGCGTGTGGGGTATGTGGGATTATCGTTCAGATTATTGGCTCTACTACAACATCAATGTTGTCTGCCGATGTAGGGAAGGTGACTAGCTTATCATTGCAATTGGATAATTTGGTTTCAACCCTTCTGGAAGAGCCTACCCGGCCAGTAGCGTGCCCAGCGGTCAGAAAGCGCTCATCTGTAATTTTGGAGACCCCAATTCCATCCAGCCTTCCATCCGGGTAAACTCTCAACAAGAACTACAATGTCCACAATAGCACCGACTGTTTACATGACTCCTTGGCCACCTACATGATATAGCGACCAGTAAAGGTGCCTTTGATTATAGCCAGACACTCTTACTCCGAGGACAACCCTTACCACTGTTGCAGCGGTTGTCGCCATTATACCGCCAGAACAATATCGGCATACACCTCTCCATTGTTCCCATTGTGTGACATGGTCCCTAAACGTCTGAGTAATATCTTCCCGTCTAGTTATGAATTAGCAATCTGAAAGCGGATAGGATACATGCCTCCTTTCCGAGCGTAAACCTCTGTGTCAATTACCCATGTGTGTTTGGGCCTACTCTCAATTTGCTGCTTTAGAGCCTCCAGCTCGCCCGCAGCACCGGAGACAAACTTCTGTGTGCATTTTGGGAGTACAAAATTTGTAAGGTCGGATTGGACTTATGGTTTCTGAGTGGTAGATGCAATATCTCGAGCCAGGTGTGTCTCAAAGGACATACAGAAATACCGCACTTTCTTACGCCATCTACCAAGTCGAAATCTTAGTATGTAGCTTTCAGGAGGCTAGTTTGTTGCTCGGGTAATTCTAGCTTTGGGATTGATTATTCAATTCTTGTTTTGTTCGGGCGGCTTCTCCTTGCACCGAGTCAGCGCTTATACTACCCTTGCGGGAGTTTGGGTCGCACTCGTCCGTACCGATTTCCCTACCTTGTTTGTCACTGCTTTTGTAGGTTAAGAACTCTTACAATTTTATAAGAAATGGACCAATTGGCCTAGTGGTTATGGCATCTGTCTTACATAAGCAACATAATTGTTACATAAATGTGAACACAGAAGGTCGCAGGTTCGATCCCTGCATTGGTCATCCTTTTTTACCCTTCCAAGAACTTTTTTGTCCCCCTCGTCCTTCTTACAAGGACTATCAGAGAACGGCAAGGCAGCGTACTCTCATGACCTTGTAACAACGGCAGCTCGCTCTTTATACATTCTGTATGGTATCATCAAGCATTTGAGAGCGTGAATTAGAATACGTTGCGCTCACTCATCATTGGATACCTTCCATCCTATCATACTCGCTGCGGTCCAAGGATCCATTGAGTGTGACAGCCTGAAGAATGTGCTGACTAAACAGGCCAAAAAGAAGTCTGTGTCTTTCACAAAGAATAACAATTCTGGAGAAAGAAAGGAAAACTAGTATCTTCTCCTCTGGGATCGAGCCACTTTATATATCTTTGGGACTCAATACCCGTTCGGCAGGTTCCTTCTATTTCAGCTATTTCCCTCGCTAACTTTCTTCCTAGTAATCCGGCCCTTCCCATGGGCCTCTCGGCCTGTCTCGTCTTACCTCCTAGTAAGTTCTATTTCTTGATTTATATCTCCGGAAGTTGCCATAAGCAATGCTTGGAGGTTGA